TTGATAGAATTTTATGTCATGGAAATGGTAAAAATAAAAAAATATGTGCCCCTAGCAAGGGCTCCCCCTAGAGGTGCCCCCCCCCCCCCCGCTGGACCCCGGCTATTTTCAGCTGAAAACACATTGTCATTCCCATCCCTGCTTAGGTTAATAATGGTTGAACCGATATCTGCATCTTTTATTAATTGATCGTATCAATACTGAAACTCATTTAATTGTTGTGTTTATATTTGCTCTCAGTTGGCAACGAACAAAATGCAAACGAATTTGACAAACGAAGGCGCTGACAGTTCCGATGAAGGACATTCAACTGATGATGCTGGAGGTGGTGGAGATAACAAAGAAACAAAACATGAAACCGAGGTAGATGTACCAGCTGAAAAAATACACATTGTAAAACTTACAACATCTACCTGCCTGGATCGTAAATGTTATTAATTAACGGCAGCATATGTCCTGGGTCCCAACTAATAGAAAACTGCCAGGCTCACTAGAACAACCTTAAATGATATAATTTGCATTAATTGCAGCATACCTGTAGACAGTGCTGTTAGTGTATGACTTGTTCCTTGTCTATTTATTGTATAAACCTAAACTATAGGATTTCTCATTTGTTGATTCGGTTCTACATTTACCAATGTGTCACACCATGTATGTGATTAGCTTTGCAAACTAATAATTTTATTAATTTTCTAAAAAATTTCCCAGAAAAAAAGTATTGTTTGGCATAGAAACTTGAAAATGGTCCTAATTATATTTTTTAACATTCAATAAAGGACACACCTACACAGAAATCGCCCAAAAAGTCGCCACAGAAAAGTCCGAAGAAGAAAAGAGCACTGATTGAATCTGACGAGGAGGAAGAGGAGCCCCTGAAAACAACTCCAAAAAAGCAGACGAGTAAAAAATCTTCTCCCATAAAAAAACCAGCTTCTGACGGAGATGGAGAGGCTAGTCCCCAAAAGGCAATGCCGGCAACAAAAGACATTTCCAGCGAAAACGAGGACCAGGATGTGGAAACGGAGAAAGATGAAAAACACTGTAAGTGTTGTGTATTTGCTCTTGAAATCACCAGTAAGGCAGATTAGTAACTGATATTCGTATGCGATTCTTGTTAAGTCAACAAAACAGGTTGCTATAGGTCCTCACTCAACACAAAACCATGCAGGGAATCTCAAAAGTTGCCTATAACAAGGCGCAAGTAATGTTGTAAACACTGCATTTGTTAACGAATCTGGGCAGATTTGTCGTGCAGTGAGTAGTTTACTGTATACGCTGTATATTTCGCGGTGGTTTAATTTTCGCGAATTTAGCGAATGCATCCCCGACCGCGAAAATAGCTACGCGTATTATTCATACCGAATAATTCATAATTCACCGACTGCGCAATTAACCACTCACGAAACTGTCCGTCAAGTCGGAATTCGCGAAAATATCTGTACGCGAAAAATATGGCGTATACAGTAATACGTCTAATTGTGTTGGGATGTGCATGGTCTCTATAGAAATAGTTGTTATCGCTGCAGTGGCGTTGTATGACCAGCCGACTGAGCTGTCTGGAAAGAGGGTAAGGAAGAAGACAGAACGGTTGGTTTTTACTGCTCCTCCACTGTCTTCCGAAAAGCCAACCCTTGAAATACCAGAAGGCAAGGGAGAAAAACTGGGCGAGTGCGAACGAAGTAAGTGGTCACAAGCAATTATTCATTACTAATCAATTCTTTCATGCATTTATTTGTAATTATTAAATTCCCACGAACTCGACAGAAGGTCGTATGCTGTTCAGATCAGGTCATATGTTATTAGTACTTAAACAAAGCAGTGAAATTAAGACTTCTTACATCAATGTTTATATGTGAATGAAAAACTGTGTTTGCAATTACAGTTAATCATTTCTTGTCAAAGACAAGGGCAGATGATCTGAAACCTCTTCACGTGCTTCTATATGACAGAGTAGGAAAGGTAATTTTTGGTAATGAATTTTTTACACTGATTAAGGATGCAATCAAGCTTTGTATGACAGCACTAATCTGGGTGGCAATGAATGAGGTGTACTGTTTTCTGCCGTGTGGGAATATCAACTAGAGCCGGGGGGGGGGGCAGTCAGCTACATAAGTATCAGCTGGCTACAACGCTACTGTACTGACATATATATACGTACCTACAATACTTACTCTGCCTGTATTCTCTATATTTATAATACAGTAGGACTATGTATGGGACTTGGAGCTATAGTGTCAAAACTCACACTTGCACGTTGGCCTCACTGAACGTAGCAGCTATATGCCATCTTTGTATCATGAAAGCATATATTCATTGCATTTCACAGGTGACTGTTGTGAAAAGAGACATTCGCCTGTTCTGTGGCTTTGCTTTCAGCCACAAGGACCCTGAGTATGCGAAGAAATCTGAGCGTTTAAATAGGTAAGATGGAATTTATCTTCCACAGGGTTTGAATTTTACCATGGCATCAGTGGCAAAGTTGTGCCCCTTATTTGCGGTGGTGCTCAGCTTCCTAAAATGGGACAGTATCCACGACGACAAACCACTGTAGCTGGCTGCCATGATGCCCTAAACCGAACCCTAACCCTGATGATCCCATAAATTCAATGTGTGTATCCCTCTGTCCCACAAAGGGTTTGTTAAATAGTAAGTTGCATCGATAGCTGTTTGAAAGAACTGTTTGCCTTGGTGCCATTGAAAAATTTAATTTGATGATGTAATTTCATGTTTGATCCTGGTTCAGGGTAATGCCAACAAATTTCAGAACTACATTGCCCATACTGCCATATATATCTACTGCATGCATGGCAACATGATATCTAATACAAAGCGATATGTATTAGCACTGAGCTGGTGTGTCCATTAGCTCTGATTAACTTTACTGACTCGTGTCAAAGAGAATATTTGAAGAACAGGAGGCTTAGGATAGCGCTATGTGCGGTTTCACTGAATTAGAATCCAGGGTTTCAGAGAAGATAGTTGACGCCATGTTGATGCCATACCAAATTTTATCGCTCTTAGGGTTTGCCGATTGGCATAAATTGGTAACCCATACTAACCTTTTCTAGATTCTTGCATGAGCTTTACACAGTTGAGATGGAATCTAAAGATGATGAAAAATGTAGCCACAAAATAAAAATGCACAAGAAGTTGTTAGAGTAATGCCATTCGTCTTGCACTGTACATTTTTTTTCTCAATTGTAGACTGAATATGGGGGCATTGAGAAAGTTATGTGAGGTGCTGGATCTGGACCGTAAAGGAACCAAAGAGGAAGTAGTAGAAAAAATTATGACCTTCTTGCTAATGCCAAATGACAACGGAAGAAAAGTTCCTGTTTCAAAGCGAGGTATCACGGCATTAATTTAAGTGCACTTGTCAAAAATCCTAATATAAGTCGTCTGTAAGTAATATAAGTACCATGGTGAGATTCATAGAAGCATTGTAACTGATGAATTGTGCTCAGTCAGGGACATTGATCTTCTCAGTGACTCCCAAATTTTATGCCAAATATGTATTTATCAAATGCAAGTTTAGGTATGTTGTTGAATGGTATAAGATTGAATGGTATATGTGTGTAAACCTTTGATATTTATTAGCAAAGGCTATGCGAAAGAAACGAAAGCGAGCTTCTTCTAAAGGTAGTAGTCCAAATAAAAGACCCAAGAAGAACACTTCTGATAAAGAAGACGAGGAACGTGATGATGACAGTGGTGAAAACCTAGATGGAAGTGAAGACGGAGAAGAAGAAGAAGAAGAAGAAGAGGAAGAGGAAAAGAGTGAGAAGGTAAAGGAAAACGGAAGCTCTGGAATCTTTTTTAATTTACATTGCAGTATAGAGGGAGATGTAGCCAGCAAATCACTGTTTATAAAAAACTTATTTAATCTATAGTTATATTAATCAGATTTTGTCAAATCAATTACTCTATTAAACTGTAATGTCTAGTTAAAATTTAGTTAATATCTTGTTATTGGGTTTCAATACAATGTTAAATGTTTTTTATTTTCTAAAATTAGAAAAAACCAACAAAAACGAAGACAGCATCTAAACCTAAAGAGTCAAAAGGAAAGGAATCGAAAAAAAAGCAGAGGAAAGTAAAAGGTACTTAAAATACAATAAAAATTGGATATTTAACATATGCTAATCAATTCTTAGTAAAGGATGGCTGTTAGCAACTGTTTGTTAGATGTCAAAATGCACAACGTAATCAGAGCTTCGGTAATGTGTGTCGAGTAAACCTAGATTTTAACAATGTTTCTGTTGATAATTTTCATTTGTAAAGTCATTAATGTTTTGAAAAAAGTATATCGTAACAAATTGTGAAAATTTCTGCAATTCAGTGGTGTTGAGTGAGAGTGAAGAAAGTTCTGACGATGAACCACTGGCCGCAAAAGTGAAGAAACCACCAACAGTAAGTTATTTTGTTTTCTCTCTGACTGTAATAATTATATAAGCGTATGTCATTGTAAAAAGAGAAAAGATTTGATTGTTGACTCGTGGCTGTGTAATTATTATCTGCGATCGTTTCTTGTTGCCGAATGTGAAGAAACCAACAGTAAGTTGCAGTGCGTGGTCTTGTGATTATATTAACCATGTGTGGTGATTTAGTTTTGGTCCTAGGAATTTGCAGAAAGTGATTCTTGCAAGTAGTTTCACATTTATTAGTTTAGTTTGCCAGTCTGCGCCTGACTCGACTTGTGCCTTATTGTTTTCTACAGAACGACGAGGTTAAAGAAGCCATAAAAAATATTCTGGAGGGTGCCAACTTGGAAGAGGTCACTATGAAGTCTGTGTGCAAAGAGGTCAGTGAAAATTTGTTACAGCTCATATGTGCCTACATGTGAATCGCATCTGTTCATTGCCCTCTAAAAAATAATAGTCATTGTTCGGCCAGTGCTAGAAGTTTATTGAGGTTAAAATGGTTAATGCATAAGATATATTAGCGTTCAGTGTGGTTTAGTGTCCTTATGTGTTTGATACTAGCTTGTTCTTTTTAGGTGTATGCAAAATATCCAGATTTTGACCTTTCGGATAGAAAGGACTTCATCAAGGTGGCAGTGAAAAAAGTATGATGGTTATTTGTAGTGGTCACTGTTAAAAATGTGTAAATACCTGATGCTGATTTGTGTTCATAGCAAATGAAATGTTCTGGAACAATATGAGAAAAGCAGAGATGTGATTAAGGACAACACGTGATTTAATTGGAACACAATGAGCGAACTCTTTATTAATTCAACTTTCTGTTCTTTTTCTTAGATCATATCTTAATTTTCGTGTAGCCGTCGAGGATGTCTGTAAATTCCTTCTTTGTCGTCCATGAATCTACGTGAAACTGTCACCAGCGGCGACTAGCATTCAGGAATGCGATCATGTTCTAACTACGACTGATAGCTGATGATGATTGCTATGAGTTCCACACAGAAAGTTCAGCAAGTCCTGTGACCCTTTTTTTCGAATATCATGTTTTCTTGCACTTCGCATTTTTTAGATGTGGGGGGAAGATAGAGGCATTGTAAGTGTAATAGGATGGATATGATATCGTCTGGCTCTAGTGCTTTTAACTGGCCATGTAATATGGTTGATTATGAGGCAAGTGCCAGTTGTATGAACTACGGATTCAGGTGTGAATATTTTGACAGGTAAATAACCTTGATATTTCCTTCCAATTTTCCATTTAGCACTTATAAATGTGTTAGTCTTTGTCAAACAAGTTTTTGGTGTTATCCATTACAACTCCTATGAAATGTTTTTTAGCCAATTTGAAAATTCTGGCTTTGGGGATGATCGGTGCATAGATGTATGGTATATTTTATGCCTTTAAATTTGGAAGAATTTAATTGGTGAAGTTCTACACAATTATAAACTATATTACTACGAAATCAGTTCACTTATCGGTTCAGTACAGTTAGGAAAAATAGAAGATTAGATTAATTACCTGTAGCAAATATTTTATATAGCATTAGTGGTTATTTCATGTTTTTATGTTGAATGGAAGTGTAGTGTACCCGTGTAAAATGTATTGGCATTCATGTGGTTTGTTAAAAACGGCAGGAACAATTTTACTGTATCCATGTAAATTTTTTCTTCGAACATTCAAATTGTGCATGTCTTGTCAGGTTTAGTAGAACCGCATAGATTTTCATCATACTATTTTCAGAAATAGGAAAATCTTCGATGTACAGAAATTTTAAGATGGCGTCTACTGTAACTATACTGACCATTTCATTCAAATAAATGTTTTTTAAATAATAGATATTTCTGTCTGCTTTACAATACTATACCGATTACAGTCACAGAGTACACAGGTACAGGTAGGTTCCTTGCATATTTTCAGCTTAAATTATGCTACTGTATATGAAAATTTCCATTGCTCAATATTACTTTAAGACGAATAGAAAGGTTAACGGCTGTATCGTACTTTCAAAGTTGCGCGCGCATCACAACTTGGCTGCAGGCTACAGACGTAGGATGTTTTACTTCAAAACTCACCATTACATTGTTTTATGACAAATGTGAATGCATGAATACAGAAATCTGTAGGTATATAATATCACTTTTGCACTTGCTATCATAATACAGTATACCCTAAAATTCTAGTGTGTAGCATCCAATCTTGTACAGGAAAAAAAGGTCAGTAAATAGTAAAAAATAAAAAAAATATTTCCACTTTTTCACAAAATATAAGTAATTCTGTTCACTTTTTACAGTTAAATTGCTGCATTATACTTATTTTACTATATTGTTCGATGTGAACATACACTCGTGACGCATACATAGCCCATAGCAAGCTATTAATATCAGGAACACTACTATCAAATCGTCCAGGTTTTTTGGATTTTTAACTAGTTGAGAAACAATCTTATCACGTAAGAATTTGACAATACATTTAGTACCGTTAGTTCTTACTTTTAATGTAAAAAAATAGCAACAATTTTTTTTTACAAATTTTACCATAGAAAATTCGTAACGTAGTCAATTTAAATATATAATAGATATTTATTCACAAAAAACAATGCACGATTATAATATGACATACTTTATACTTGGTTACGCATTCCATTCTACTAATATTTACATTGTTGTACACTACCCCTCTAAAATTCTAACCTGTTTCAACTAAATGCACCATGTGCAGAAATAACATAAAATGGCAAATATACATGGGGATGGTTATATACAATAAAAATTAACTTAAAAATGTAGTTAAACTCGGCTGTGTAGATTACCAGCAAACCAGGTTTAACGAGGAATTCCAATCTAAAAATTATCGTGATAACGAACGTTTTAGCAAACAGAAAAAAAGCAAGTAAATTTGTTATTCACTAAAATATGGAAATTGAATGTCGCAAATGTGGTCCTTTACAATTAACCTATTCTTTGGCACTACGACCATTAAAAGTCTGCGTTAAGAGTAAACTGAGACTCCGTGCGATTGGACATCACACCCATCTTCTGGTACTCGCCAACCCTCTTCTCAAAAAAGTTGGTCTTTCCTTCCAAGGATATGTGCTCCATGAAATCGAACGGATTCTCGGCGTTGTAGAACTTAAAACATAGAAACAATAAACTTGATTATGGTATTGATAGAAACAAACAGAATTTGCGCAAAAAAGATGTAAAGCCACGTAGTCCAACATGCACACATGTAACAACACAAGAACCAAATATCAATAATAAATTCCTATTTTTAAAATGGGACATCATAGCAGCCACTCGATACCACTTTGGATACATACCTTCGCACAGCCAAGCTCCACCAGTAGCCGGTCGGCAACGAACTCAATGTACTGGGACATAAGTTTACAGTTCATCCCGATGAGTGAGACGGGAAGTGCCACCGTTAGGAACTCCTGCTCGATCCTGACAGCGTCAGCGATGATCTCATAGATTCGGGACTGCGTGAGCTTGTTCACTAGGTGACTGTACAACAGGCACGCAAAATCGGTGTGTAGCCCCTGAACAGAAAAATAGCAAACACGTAATTAGACAGTGTACCAAAACACCTTTAGCAAAATTACTGTTTTTCCATATATCAAAAATAGAAAACTGCTAATCGGAGCACAGTAAATTGACGGAAAATGATCATTAGTGAATTAATAATCACACTTAGCTCATTTCTGTTTGTGTCATAACTGTTCATATAGCCTACAGCTACTTCATCTACAATGTCATTATTACTCGATTAACATTTTCTTTTACACCACAGTGCAGATTAAATATAGACTCACCTCATCTCTACTGATGAGCTCATTGCTGAAGGTCAGACCAGGCATCAAGCCACGTTTTTTCAGCCAGAATATAGCAGCAAATGACCCTGAGAAGAAGATTCCCTCGACAGCCGAGAAAGCCACCAGTCGCTCAGCATATTTGCCTGTTAGGAATGAAAAAATTTACAAAAATAAGACTAAAAAATATTCAATAAATTCCCTTTTACAAATGTGGGAAAATACATGTATGTGCTGTTGCATTTTCTTTCAAGTGAAATTTGTATTATCCTGTCACATTTTAATTAAACTCCTTCATAGAAACCTTTAAATGATTGGATTCAAGTCCTTTACATTTTCTACAAAGCCCCGTAACACAAAGAAAGTCTACATACTGCTGGTGTCATTGATCCACTTCACAGCCCAGTCAGCCTTCTTCTTCACACATGGCATCGTATCAATAGCATTGAACAAGAAGTCCCTGCGTAAAATTCACAAGGAATATAAACACAAGCTGACACACATAACATAAGTAATTATAATCTTTCTTAAAAATTAATTGTTCACTTCAATTAAAATGGTATACATTGCATTTTAATCCCACTTATCGAAAGTATATAAAACAATAGATGCTATACTCACTTTTGTTCGGAATCCTTGATATAGGTGTCAATCAACAAGCTGTACATCTCGGAATGAATATTCTCAATAGCAATTTGGAAGCCATAGAAGCAACGTGCCTCAGTCACCTGCACTTCCTTGCTAAAACGTTCAACCTACCAAACAAACCACAAAAACTTATTTTTGGCATCTGGTTAATAGATGTTCTACATCATTTACTTGTCTAACGTATAAACCAGTTTGCAATAAAACACAATACACACGGTTAATGTATAAATTGTTATCCACAAGGTTCCAATAGGTTTATAACTTCTAAGGAACAGTTCACGTGGTAAAATGTACAGGTATACTAACCAGATTTTCATTCACAATTCCATCACTTGCAGCGAAAAACGCCAACACGTGTGATATGAAGTGTTGCTCCTCGGTCTTCAGTTTGTCCCAATCAGTCAAATCTTTGCTGAGGTCTACCTCTTCCACTGTCCAAAAGGATGCCTCTGCTTTCTTGTACATTTGCCAGATGTCATGATACTTGATGGGGAAAAGTACAAACCTACGAAAAAATTAGTAACCACATAAACAAACACTAGTGTCAAGTGGTTATGACAATGTTATACTGGTGCAAATTACTTTACAATTACTGTAATTGTCAGTGCACTATTGCAGACTGCAACCTCTCTTAGTTCTGCTTTTGTGGCACTCTAATAAATATAGAAATGTTAGCTAATGTGTTCAGACGCATGTGTAACGAACATTAGACAACAGTGAAAAAAATACACGGGGGCTCGGGGCGATTTAGCCCCCCAAAATGTCAAAAAGAGCCCCCGTAAATTTGCATAGTTGAATGCAAACCAAATTTTAGAGTGCTATTTTCATGCACGCGAGCTTGAAAAGTAGCCCCCGAAAAATAAATTATATTTTTTTCCCTGTTAGACAACCATGCCTACCTATGAGGGTTCTCTCTAAGCAAAGGCTCAACTTGCGTGTCCTCCTTTGATTCGTCATCACGTGAGGTTTTACTCTTTAGCTGCAATAAATGAAATAATTGACACAGGGCTTACAACATTGCACACCACAACTTAACAAATCATCAACAGATAGCACGGAAAACCTAAACAATTTCCTTATAAACCAAGCTTTGCCAACATAGCTTAATTTTATATGATTAACTGCAGAAATGCAGTAAAATTATATAAATGAAACAAAGGAATATTGCAGCACTAAACTCCAAACATGACAGGATTGGATCAGTGATGGTAGATCTACTAGATACACGAAACTAAACAGGGCATGCCGCTGAGTTTTAGCTTTAGTTTCACTTTTAGTTTTAGTTTTAGTTTTACCAAATCCACTTTTATAGTTCCCAGTACTACTAGTACTACACAAAGTACAAGATAAGAACGCTGCACAGCGTCATTCACTACATATTTATGGTAATCCATAATCAAATAAACGAACGCTCGTATGAGTTTACTATATTAGCTGGAAGCTGGTGGGTGGACATGCACAATATGACAAGCAGGCTAAATAACACAAGGTATAAATAAGATTTTACGAACACGTTTGCGTGCCGACTTCATTCATCCACAAGAATAATATTGGATTAACAATGCCACCTAGTGGTGGTTAAACTAACTTAGTATAAATAACACCCCCCGGTCTGGAGCGCCACCTGGTGTATGATTTCATGCATAACGTCTCAGGAGCAAGCGGGTACGCCTATAACACTAACATTGGTCGGCTCCATGACTATGAATGTGCATTTAGGAATAATAAACGTACACGTCAGTCTTTACAGCACGAATAACAAACTTACAACAACTTCAAAATGCATATACAAAAACCCGACACCAGTATTGTTCTCCTTTATAACCTACGACAGAGACAGAAGTGATATATCAACTTACCACATCTTTCTTTGGCGACTTTGCAGATTGGATATTCTGAAATTGATACAATGAAGTACATTTTAATTTATACTGAATCACATTACATACAGATTAAACAACAAAAGCTAGTACTACCCAAGGCAATAATTTTCACACTCCATATAAACTATTACAAATTGAGAGCATGCAACAAAATCTTAAGCACAAAATATGATTCAAGGACTTGAGGGCACACAAAATAGCTTTATCGATAATCTGAAAAAATTCCATTTCATTTTTGATATTTCTCTAATGTTCAGAAAGATACCAGTGGATAGATGTGATGCAATTGTCTAAAGAAAACACAGCTGAGAATTAATTAGGCACGTCAGGAGGAGTTACATTTTAGTTTCCGTTTTGATGGCAAGTCGGTCCGACAGTAAAATGACTGTAATTTACCTTGCTGGATAGTTATTTGTAGTGTTGTCAATCGGTTACAAACGGTTATTCGGGGTGTTGAATGCATGCGTGTGCATGTATGTGCTTGTTTAGCCCTGTTTACTGTTTGTTTTGCATTGTTTTGCACTGTGTGTATAATACATGTATGTTAATAAAAGATAACTTGTATAGTTGTGATGATATCTCTGATTCTCATCACTTTTCCAAGTTTTACATTTATTTCGATTTTTTTTTTTCCCGATGAAATCGATTATGTTTTGATAACCAAGCGCTTGGTTCGAGCCACTGTTCAACCGATGATCGAGTATAATCGATGATCGCGACATCACTAGTTATTTGTAATGTATTATGTGTATGATGTGCATTATATTATATTTATCAGAGTGGCTATATGCCTGGCAGCTGGGCACGGTCTTCGATTTCCCAAATGCCCGGCAGTTTTTAATTTCAGCGTATCTCAAGTAAACAAGGGTTAGGGTTAGGGTTAGGAACTGCCGGGCATTTAGGAAATCGAAGACCGTGCCCGGCTCCCGGGCATATAGCCGTGACAGCGTATATTTATAGTTATAGCCACCTTAGCTCTCTAGTACTATATCCCGCGTAGTTGCCGCCTGCGACAACTGTACGCGGGACTATAGTACTAGAGCTATATAGCCACTTTTACTGCTAAAAATTTCATATTTAAAACGTTAATTAATACAAGGAGACAAATGTAAGTGTACTGTACGCTGTACACATCTCCGGCACTCACCTGAACATCACCCAGGATGGCACGTTTTACTGGTCCTAGTGGCCTTTGTGTCTGAAATTTGGTAAGAACAATTGTAAGAATCTAAGATATGTGAAGAGCACATGCACGTACGAACGAAATGCAAACCACAATTACACTATTACTGACACTAATAGCAACAAATGCTACATATATACGCAATATATTACATATAGCACCTTTACACAAAGGAAATTAGTAGCTGCCTGTATATCCATGCTTACCGGATTTTCTTGGTCTGCAAGTTTGGCTCTTCGCATTGGCGATAAAAGATTTCCCTGGTTTCCGTCAGTCTTACCAAGACTCTTAGGTGAGTACGCAGACAGCATTGTGTGGCAGAAGTAAAATGATGAACGGAAAAGGCGTAATATAAACTAAAACTTTCTCAAATAAAATGGTAAATTCGTTCACTGAAATACAGGACAGCAAACACGTCTATTCAGGTCGAGAACTGAGGAACAAGTATTTCTCCCGCGATCTGAAAACGGCAACAGACAAATTTTCGCGCGCTTGACGTCATAGAAGTTTACACCAATGGGCTATGAGATATCGCCCCACGTGATAATGAACGGTTGCTGTTCTTTGTGCCACGTGACGGACACTGAAATTTCGCGCGCTATGACGTCACATGGAAAAGTTGCAAAAGGATCCCATGTTCATGTATTAAATCGCTACTTTTATAGTTAACTAACGGCAATATTAAAGAATAGTCAAATTTCACTTGTTATGGTATGAGAAATAATTAATTATGCACATTAACGATATATAAATAATGAATTTAATATTAAAATATAAGTTTTATGGACAACCAACTTGAACTACATCGTGCGTTTGGGTACACTTCCGGTGAGTTATTTGCCGTGTAAACAAAGGACCGTGACCCGCCAACCGATAAACCTGTTTCATTCAGCCACAGCTGCGATCAGGATGGTTACTGACCCTACCGTGACATCTGCGCGTGTACCCATCTGTCGGTCTATTCGTTAGTTCTATGCCTATATGGTTTATTCTTATCCGATGGGTAGAGACGCGACACTGAAGTCGGGTATCAGATGTAATGCTCTAGTAATACGCTCGCATGATACCGGTACCGGTACTCGAGAACAGGATACTATTAGTATTAGATTCAGATAAATTAACACCAAGATCGGCATAGATAAGTAAATGACATGTTTATTTCGCCATGGAAATCGAACAATAATTATAATACACTTACCCATTGACCGGTCCAAAGGGGTACCGTACTCAGTCGCGTATCTCTACTCAATACTATATATCTCTATGTAGTCGTGATACCTGGCCCGTAGGCAGGTTTTTTTCGTACGGGAGGGTGCGATCCAACGAGTATACGGACTTAAGGGGGGGTCCGGGGGCATGCCCCCCGGAAAATTGTGAAAATTAGGTTGTCTGAGACTGCATTTCGCGCGTTTTGAAGACTGTACGATATGAAAACAGGCAGCTAAAAGCGAACCTAAAAACGTGGACAATTCTCAAATTTTTGAACTTCAAAATGGATTTTTTCCGCAAAAATGTGGATCTCCGCAGCCTGTGGGGGGGGAGGGGGCGCACCCGTCGCACCCCCTTCCCTACCGGCCTGGATACCTATAAAAATGCACGCACGCACAAACACACACACACACACACACACACACACACACACACACACACACACACACACACACTAACACGCACACACAAACGCGCGCACACACAACGCGCTCAACAACACGCACAACAAACACACGCAAACACACACCAGGCACACACACACACACAACACCAACCACACACACACACACACACAACACACACACACCACATGCACACCACAAACACACACCACACCACACACACACAAACAACACCACACCACACCAACACACATACACACACACACGCAGTATGTATAGGCCTACACCGAGTTATAAATAGGATTACATGGGGTTATATTACGTATAAGCACCTTATAATACGTTAAAATTATATTAATTATTATAATTACGTATAAAACCGGTTATAGCGCACTACCCGGTTTAAGTTTGTTATATAGTGTTAGTCAATATGAGCGGTGTAGTACTACTGTAAAAAATTTAATTTCTGTACTTTTTATAGCTGTTACTACGAACAACGCGTCTATCCCCAGCAACTATCAGACTGTAGTTGTAGATAATTCGGAGAAGAAAGGCTTTCGCTCAAATTCGAAACGCTTCTCATATACAGATGTAAGTAATTTCATGCAACGTTTTATTCTTATTTCTCTCGATGTTGAAGTAGATGACATCAAGACATAATGATGATCGATGATGATGACGACGACGACGACGACGATGACGACGACGACGACGATGACGATGACGATGACGACGACGATGACGATGACGATGACGATGACGATGACGATGACGACGACGACGACGACAATGGTGATGTAGATGATACATAACAATGATAACGTGTAACTTTTATTACATTTTTCTTTATAAACTTCAATGTAAACATTAAATCACGTAACTATAAAACAGTTTACTAGTGGTAATTTTAGGAATATATAGATAGCATAAAAACAAGAGCGTATTAGGTATGCTCTTGGTATACGTAATACTTCTTGATAAAAATTCTTCTCTTGATACGCTCTACGCTCTTGATAAAAATATATTGTTATAAAAATGATGTGTGTAATTTTTTATTATTTTAAAGAATGACCTGCCAGGACCAGGAACATATGCTGTTCATCCCGTATTAGCCTCCGATGGACCGTCATTCTCTGTAAAAGGATCGGCTGGATTCCCCTCTAAGGTAAAACATGCATAGTAATTGTATATTTTCATCCCATGGTCGTACATTCAACATAATTACTCTAATTACTCATACAAAACGCTATTATGAATTACTGGCGAAAACCGGTTCGAAATGCAAACGTTGTGTTATTGACGGCACGTGCACTTCCCTCAAATAGGCAGTCGAGGACAGGGAAAAGGAATCCGGGAAGGCAATGGGGTGACAGATGACAGAAAGGGAGCAAAAGAAGAGTAATAGGGTAATGGGAGAAGGCGCGGGGAATATATATGGTGTTGGGAAGAGGAGCACCTAATATGTGGCGGAGAATAATAAAGGAAGGGGAAGGGATAAGGAATTGGAATCAAAAGTGGATAAGAGAGAAGGCTGGTGAAAGCACCGCCCTCTCATTCTCCCCCACCAGCCCTCCGTACCTGTTTATTTCCTCGTCATTGTTCTCTCATTATCTCCGAATAAGACTAGACTGCCCCTATGTTCTATGTCATCAAAAACCGTATATACAACTGCATACGCTCTTTGATGTCATTAGAGCATTTCGTAACATTAACCGACAACACCACGTTCTAACCTGAACAACCCTGTTCTAACCCCCATGTCAACAGTCACTAGATTCTGTAAACCGAAATACCGGAAGTTTTCGATGTATCGTCTTGATACTATCAAGAGCCCATTAACGGGAAGTCAGCGTGTAACGCCTCTCCCGTATACATATTACCATACTATACAACGATATTTATACGACGATAGGTATAGGTATAGGTATCCGATTATACGAGGAGTGTCATAATATAGACGTCTATATAGTCTATATATAGACGTCTATATAGTGTCTATATTATTACAATCCTGATGATGTTTATATACGATGATAGGCGAAGCGTCTACCTCGCGTGCAGATGCCCTGCTCTCCGAGAGTTGGCAGCTACAACTTGACGGATAATCTGAATACCAAGAAAGACTTTAATCAGGCTGGGGCCACGAGTAGCTTTTGTCACCCGATCGCTCTTCAGCCGGATAAGCATGCGAACAGCGACGGACCCGCGGCGAATCAGTACAATGTAAGGCTATGTATATATATTCTGTCGTAGTAGAGACGTGAGAGATAGCTAGCGATAGCCCTGGGATTAGAGAGAATGGTTCCTTTCCATTAGTGATATCAACCGTTCACATGCACTAGAGCCCGGTTCCCAACCGGGGGTACTAGTACCCCCTGGGGGTACCAGCGAACACCACAGGGGGTACCTGGGAAACCTCTTAGACATTTAAAGAAATGTAGTGCTATATAATAATCAGCAGGTGATTCAGGCATCTCTATCGACAGTGCCAACAAGTCATGGTTTAAAAAAAAGTTAGTTTCTGCCATGCAGCAGCAGTCTTCTCATTGAACTGTCGTTTAGTGCACAGTGCGCTTGATTGGAAAAATTCGCCGTGCGACTGCATTAATAAAACATGAACATGATGTCAAAATATTTATGACAATACATCAGTGTTGGTTCTTCATTTTGCTTATGGTAGGCGAAGGGGTACCAAGAGATAGCGTAAAAAATTAGGGGTACGGGGAGTCTAAAAGGTTGGGAACCACTGCACTAGAGCCTCGTAGTTAACAAGCGACTTCGCTTTCACAGTATTGCACTATAAGCCCTGCGAGCTATTGCCAACTATATACGCGAGTATATCATATACATAGGCATGCGAACGCACGCAGGCACGCACACACGCACGCGTGTCGTACACACAAACACATACGCACACACACACGCACGTGCTCACATACATACAAACACAAGCGCGTGCACGCAGGCACGCACACACGCACGTCGCTCACATACACACAAATAAGCACACACACACACACACACACACACACACACA